AAATATGGTATGAATTGATATGTTCAAACTTTCAGAAAAGCACACGTATGCATCCGGCTAATTGCTCCAATGATAAAGTGTGATTGTTTTGGAGAAAGGTCACAGAATGTCACTTTTACGTAAAAAAGTGACACAATGTCACTTTTTTTTTAAAGAAAAGTGACAGAATGTCACCCTTTCCATGTGTAAACACATTGCACACATCCATGTAATTGATTCAAAGTTTTCATTTTCATATGTATTCTCAGATAACAGGGCATGAATTGGTATATTTAAACTTTCAAAAAAGCACATGTATGCATCCAGATAATTGTTCCAATGATAAAGGGTGACTGTTCTTGTAGAAAGGTATCGAATGTCACTTTTTCATTGAAAAGTGACAGAATGTCACTTTTTTGAGAAAGGTGACAGAATGTGCTTCATGATCAAACATCTTGCAAACATCCATGTAGTCGATTCAAAGTTTTCTTTTTCATATGTGTTACCAAAAAAAAGGTATGAATTGGTATATTCAAACTTTCAAAAAAGCACACGTATGTATCCGATTAATTGCTCCAATGATAAATGGTGACTGTTTGGGAGAAATGACAAAATGTCACTTTTTCTAAGAAAAGTGACAGAATTTCACTTTCTCACCTTCTCCTACAAGCAAACATATTGCAAGCATCAATGTAATTGATTCAAAGTTTTCTTTTTCATGTGTATTACCAAAAAATATAGCTTGAATATATACATTTAAATTTTCAAAAACTCACACATGCATATCTAGCTAATTGCTCAAGAGAGGTGCTGTGACTTTTTTTGAGAAAAGTGACAGAATGCCACTTTTTCACATTCTCCTTTGAGCAAACACATTGCAAGCATCAATGCAATTGGTTTAAAGTTTTCTTTCTAATGTGTATTACTAGAAAATAGAGCTTGAACATGTACATTCAAATTTTCAAAAACTCACACATGCATACCTATTTAATTGCTCAAAAGAGATGCTGTGACTTTTTTTTTTTTTTAAATGTGACAGAACTCTACTTTCTCACCTTCTCCTTTGAGTAAACACATTGCAAGCATCAATGCAATTGGTTTAAAGTTTTCTTTCTCATGTATATTACCAGAAAATAGGACTTGAATATGTACGTTCAAATTTTCAAAAACTCACACGTGCATACCTAACTAATTGCTTAAAAGAGATGCTGTGACTTTATTTTTGAAAAAAGTGATAGAATGCCACTTTTTCACATTATCTTTTTGTCAAATACCTTGCAAGTATCAATGTAATTGATTCAAAACTAATTTTTCATATGTATTGACACAATCCACTCAACTTCAACAATTTTATTTTCATACATGTTTCCAATCAAATTAATAAATTCGTCAAAAAGAAACTTCATAAATGTTAATTATACATTATGAGATTTAAACTAAATCTAATCATGAAATTCAAACAAAAATGAGATGGATAATGAGCTATAATCATGGAATCCAAAACATAGAAATACCCGTAATTTTGTTTGTGTTTTTGTCGAAGATCTCCTCGAGTTTTTTTTCCAGATTTTTCAATATTTTTGTAGATGGTTTTCTCGATTTGAAGAATGAACAAACTTTGTTTATGTATTTGTGGAATATTTCCTCTTTTTCCTTTCAAATTTTCTTTGATTTTTGCATATTGGAGGCTGATTTATTAGGATTGTCGTGAGTTTAAGTTTTGAGCGTATATTTTACGTTCAATTTTAAGTAATTACCATTTAATCCAAGTTTTTAATGTTTTTTTCAAAACAATCCAAAAATATAGGGTGTTTTTTTAAGTACACCTTTTTTGTTTTAACTTTAGGCCCAATTACTTGTTTGATTTTAGGCCCAATTTTTAAAATTAACGTGTTTAACTTTTAGTCCGTAGTCCATCCCACTCGATTTTGATTCCTTTCTTTCTTCTTTCTTCAAAACTCGACCACTGGTGCATGAAACTTTTGAAAATCAAATTGAAATTTTTTCAAAGTTTTAACCTTAAACATTTTCTCCCATCCATCAGAGCCGACAACGCCAATCGCAACTATTGTAAATTGCAAGTATTTTCATATTTTCAACCACTAATTTGAATATCCGTAAAATATATGCTCGATTGATTCTATATATCAATTGTTTACTTCTAGGCTAGGATTTACTTTTTACTCTATTCTTTTATCTTAACACTAGTTTGATACCTGTGCAATATACGGGTTGTGTTATTTTAAGGGTAATACTAGAGCATCATGCGTTAAGGATTGATGGGAGATATGTGCATTGAATTAGGACAGTTAAAGAACTTAATTTGGTGAGGTAAATTTTCAAAGAATATCACATATAAAGTACTGTTATAAAGCATCCAAAAAAATATGAAGAAATTAAGAAAACTTCAACTCAAATATAATATAATTAACGAACAAAAGTTAAGAATGTAGAGGTACTTGAACAACATGCTAGTGTAAGTACATGTACCTCTTGCAAATTTGGCAAGATCCACGTCTAAGCAACCAAGTATCAATGCAAGGTAGGTGAAACATGTTATGGTACTGAGGCAAACTTCAAACAATTTTTTTTGTCTTGGAAGTCTTGAATGTTTAGAAGACGATGCCATGAGATTTTCTTTGCAATCAATTCAACTTATCAATAAAAGAATCATTATTATTCATGATTAATAGTACTTGAAGACAGAATGAAGAAGACTCTCCCCAAAAAAATCAACATTTTCATCTTTACGAATTATAATTTTTGGGATCTTTTCGATTGTATCCCCAACCAAACCATTTGCCCCATTCGTGTCAAAAATGTTCTGGGCCTCTTCAAATGTTGTTGCTTCCATAGCTCCCATCTGATTCAAGAAGGAAATTGTTTAGAACTCGAAAATAATTTTTATTTAATCCCTATATTTTGTCAATCAAATAGACTCATACCTAACTTTGCATAGCACAAGCATAGCCGGACAAATGCATTCATGGACAAGTCTACAGCTTAAAAGGCTCACAATCACATGAATCTACACAATTTCATAATATTGATCACGTGTATGAAAAGTTTAAATTAAGCAGTTCAATAAATAATTAGACCATACAACTAATCTAAAATGGGATGCTGTTTTAGGTAAAGAATGTCGGTGACCAAATACAGTATACATCCAATGCCAGATTCATCTGATTGCCATAAAAGCATTGAAGACTCGAAGACCTCAATAAGAAAATAACACCAGAGATGGCACCAATGGCAGCCCCTCTAACATACCCACTTTCGATCTCTTGCCCATTTAGAGCTCTGATGATTGCTCCTACTAAAATACGCACTGCAGTGGAGGAAGAAAACAAAATTCCTTATTTATCTTCCATAACGAATATCAGAGAAATAGACAAAATACCCTCCAAAATACGTGTCCCATCATATAAGTTATTTAAATAAAATCGCACTTATCCCGCTTACTCTTGGTAGTAACAATCCAAAAAAGAATGACTAAACATTCAAAATCTAACAATCCATATTCTGCTCAACCAAAAAGTATTCATTTCTCAATTTCTTATTAATTCAAGATATCACATTGGCAAATAAATGAACTAGGAATCACCGTCATTTTATTAATCAATTGCAATATCGATAAACAATTAAAATGTCTAGAGTTCATTTATTTAGAAAAATTAATGGAAAAATCAAAACACAAACTCATATAAGGCAAAGAAAACACAACTAAACATGCTTTCAAAAATGGTTCCTCAAAAGAATTTTTTTAAAAAACAAAAATCTAAGCTTATGTTATTAATCAAATTTTCTACAAAATTGAATTTAAAAAAGAAGAAGAATCAAGAAAACAATAAGAAAATAGACAACCCATCTACCTAAAAACTCGCTTTGACTCTCCACCCCCGACTGCACCATCGCCTCAACCACCATTTCCATGAATCCCAACAAAACCACCTCTATCCAAAGCAAATGAGGCAGCTAAACTGCAAATGTGAAGCAATTGGGACATGCATATATCTACACATAAGGGGAGAGCAGGTCAAATTCATTCTGCATGTAACAAGGAGAACTTAGGAATATCTGCGCCAGCTCAGCTTGATATCTCTCTTCACCAAATTATAATGGTCTCTAGTTCCTTTCCCATCAAGGAGTGGGAATTTCCTAGACATGTCAAAAGAGTTTATGTCAAGCATGAACGATCGAAAAAGGCTTGATTTTGTAGTGTCCTTGAACCATCAAAATTAGAAAACACTTTCAAGTCAAAGCTTAACTTCTTCGGCAATTGCTAAAAGCAATACCACATGTTTCTTCTTTTGGGAGAGAAGTGATCACATATGTTTCTAGCTTTCCTTTAAGTCTAAGAGTGTTTTCTCCCTCTTCCGATAAAAATAAAAATAAATCTCTTGCATAATTCTCCACGTTTGAGATTAGTAATGTCATTTTTAGCAGTTTGGCAAGTTTGAATATATACATTATTGAGATAGCAAATCACTGTATCCTCGTGCTAGTTACTGTACATGAAATTTACACACTTTTGTGGTCAAATCCTTTAGTAGTTAATTCAATTTCTTGCATAGTGCAAGAATTTGACATTTGTTTTATATCACATTTAATATTTCACCCATTGGTGTTGTCAGAATCTGAAATAGGCTAGTAATATTTATCCTATCAGTTTAAACGAAAGAACTCCTTTTTACCATGTGTGCATCTCATAGTATGGTACATGTAATTATCATTTATAAAACACAAACTACATGAACATATATTTACCATTAAAATCTTAAGCAAAGATTATAAGAAGTAAAATTATTAAATTCTGCATTTCTAGAAAATCCAATGAGCTAGAAAGAAATATACCCGACTGATTCTATAATTAAAATAAGGATCAAACTCATGGATTACATTCTCGTATTTAATCACCAGTACAAAACCAAATTAATAATTAATGAACAAACAAGCCATTAGTGCAAATCAATCAAGGACGTTGGATCGGAAAACCAAAATTGTGTTTCAACGATCGCATTTAAATTGAATTAACAGAAGCAAATGAAATGAAAGGACAACTATAAGGTTCAACATTCCATTTTAATGAACTAAAAAAACAATCAAATCAATATGAACATTTCATGATTCTGATTGGATGATACTGCAAATATAATGTTACAAATAACTATTAGGACTCTTATTTTGGGAATTAAAATCTAGCAACAACAACAGAGAGTGCGCCAAGAATTGGCCAAAAAATAATATATTTCCTCGTCTAGCATCACACTAATTCAAACACTCAAAAATACCTTTGGTTTCGAATACGACAAATCCTACTTCATCATTCTTGCTGAATATCATCTACATAAAACGCAAAAAGGGATATCAGAAGTGAAGCAAAAGATTCAGTAGATTGATCCTTGCCAATTTTAATTACCGAAAGAGACTGTAGAGCATTTTCGTCATCTTCTATTGATAAGCATTCACCTTAGGATACTAAATTAGCTTGCAACTTGTTATCATCTACTGGCTGGAGAAAAGGACCAACCTATTGCAACATTCTCTAGATGAGCTTTTTGTTCTTGGTAAACCAATCATTGGTAAAATATAAAATTATCGATGCTTATAATTTCTTCAACCACTGTGCATCTAGTGAACAAGATCCAAATTAAGCCTGTGCTAAGCACATGTCACAAACTAATGCTTCCGCACATAGACGTTGCCAAGGTGAAAAGAGACGCATGGCGAGATGGCTAAAGAGGTCCTGTGAGCATGAGTAATAACATTAATTTATAAAACTCAACTTTTGATAAAGACAAGAAACGTTGTCATGTTAATGAAGAATGAACATCAATGTTTTGGTAGGTTTTGTACAAAACTATAGAAGTTATCCGGACAAAAGGAAAATTTAATGTGCTTCATTTATCTTCAATGAGGATCATAGGTTCTCCTTAGTCAAGCTAAATCTAACATATTAATTGCGATTATTCATATGGTAAGTTGAAAACCATTTAAACTGAAAACTCAATGATTCTTAAACATAGCCCCTGTTTGGCCCCCATTCTATTACATTCTATTTTTCTTTCTCATATTTTGAACCACATAATTTTTCATAAAATAATATTATACGTAAATCGAAATCATTTCATTCTTTTTCAACCACTCATTTTTCAAAAAAAAAACATTATTTCACCCATTTTCATTACCAAAAAATGGGGGCCAAACGGGGTAATAGTTTTAACGAGCGATAATTTGGAGAGAAAATAAACTTATCACCAAAAAGTAATAAGTAGCCGTCAAATTCATTGAGAAGGAGAAGGAGAAGGATCACATAAGAGGGTTCATTTTGGACGACAGATGATAAAATGGATGTAATATTATAGCCTCAACTCGTAACTTTTGCAATTGCTGGACCAAATATTACACTAATCACAATTTTGCGCGAGTTAAAATGAAAACAAAGGGAGTAAATAAACAAAATTTTCATACTTTATCGTTTTACCAAAGACAATAAATATTTTCATTTGGACAAAACAGAAACAACACATACTAAAATTTAAGGGTGTGTTTGATTACATTTATTTTCCATGGAAAATATCAATTTTCCATTCAAATTTCCATTTGAAGTGTTTGATTGCTATTTTTTTCCATGGAAAACATTTTTCAACTTTTGAAAATATACCTAATTTTCCTTATTTTTAAGGAAAACATTTTCCTTGGGTAGAAGTGGTTTTTATTTTCCACAAAAGATGGAAAATATTTTCTTTTCTAGATGACATTTTCCATGTCAATCAAACACACTCTAAATGAAACCATGAGAACCTACCTCCTCGAAGAGATATGCTCCTTAAGGAAAATGCTAGTTGAAATTTTTGAATAAGAATATCATTATTAGATTTTGACATGAAAACATTGGAGGGAAGCATTACCAAGTCGGTAAAGAAAATCACAACCAATATTATGATTCGTGTTGTTAAACTGATTCATGTTCATGAGTACAGGAAATTGATATACCTGATAAAGGACTACTTTTCAGAGTTGCAAAATAAGAACGTCTAAAAATAGCGGTGAATTTAATTAAAAAAATAGAGAGAAAGATCTATACAAGATATGGATTCTGCCAAGTGAGATCTAGTAAGCAAAAAGGCTATAGGTCAATAAAAGAGCGTTGTGTGTTTTGAATTTCACCTTTCTTCTTCCTTTAGGGATTGGTTGGTTGTGAAGGTTGTAGTCAAAAGGGGAGAGAGAGAGAGAGAGAGAGCAAAATCAAATTTTTTGGGGGAGATATTTATGATGAATAGTTGGAGAAGAGATGTTTATTAAGGCCCGTTTGATAGGGATTTTTTGTCCCAAAAAATTGATTTTTTGACCGTTATTTTACTATTCAAGCCGTAATTTTTGACTTCTTCTCTCACATGTGGATCCCACTTTTCTTCTAACGGTCAAAAATCAATTCTCAAAATCACTACCAAACGGGTCCTAAGTGCTTGCTGTGAGTAATGTATTCTAGAATATTGATTAATGTTGAAATGTGTGGTTAAAAAAAATGAATTTTTTTATTTACATGTGATTTATTCTAATGAAGAATATGTGGTTGAAAATGAGTACCCTGTAAAAAATAATGTGATAGAATGTAAAAAATGGCAGACAAACAAAGCCTAAACAAACCAGTTAATTGTTAAGATTTGAGATCCATCTTAATAAGGTCAACCTTAGTAAGAGGAGTGACCCAAGATCTATTTATATTGGTCAATATTTCGGTATTTAACCGATGTGAGATTTATTCCCTTAACATGTCCGGGTCCATCTTAATAAGGTTAACCTTAGTAGGAGGAGTGACCCAATATCTATTTAAATGGGTCAATATTTCGGTATTTAATTGATGTGGGATTTATTCCCTTAACATGCCCCCACAAGATGGTGGCTCTTTTTGAGCAGACCAATCTTGAAATTCGTGTGCTCATTTTTGAGACTTAATCGGATCGAATAGCTCGTTGGAGCTTACTAGGCTCTGATACCATATTAAGATTTGGGATCCATCTTAATAAAGTCAACATTATTCAGACGAGTGACCCAAGATCTATTTAAGTTGATCAATATTTCGGTATTTAACCGGTGTGGGATTTATTCCCTTAACATACCCCCCAAGATGATCGCTCTTTTTGAGCAAACCAATTTTGAAATCCGTGTGCTCTTTTTTGAGATTTAATCAAATTGAATAACTCGTTGGAGCTTATTGGGCTCTGATACCATATTAAGATTTTGGTTCCATCTTAATAAGGTCAACCTTAGTAAGAGGGGCGACCCAAAATCTATTTAAGTTGGTCAATATTTCGGTATTTAACCGATATGTGATTTATTCCCTTAACATTAATGAACAGTAGCCAAAACCAAGGAATTTCAAGTGTGAAAATAATAACTCACAATTGAACAGTGATCTTGGCATTGCCTCTTTTACAGGAAAGGTGATGAAAAGCATATAGAAGAATTGTTGGCTAGCATAGCATTGTACAAAGGCTGTTCCTTAGGAGCTTTGGCGGATCTGGGCCCCATGCCAGCCCCATCCCTAATCCAATTGCTTTTTTTTCTTTTTTTGTGAAAATTACATAGAGACCTACTTTTAAATGTTGCATTTCAAAAATCAGAAGTATAGTTTATATATACAAAAATCAGTGGATAATAAAATTTTTAATATTGAATAATAATATTATAAAATTCAATTAATTATATATTTACACCGCAAACCATAATATTCATTTCTTTCCTCATTCTCAACCCATTCTCTCTTTACTCACCTTCTCTCTACCGTCACCACCAGACAACGGAGTAGTCTGTCTAAATATCATCGTCGACAGTGATCTGTGCCTATCGCATGCATCACAGATTGAGTGGTGTGTCATCGATGCAACAACTTTGTCCTCGTAGCAATTTGCTGCCGCTGCAACGCACCATATGGTAGTGGCAGCAGTGCGTCTGTATAGGGTTGGGTTGTTGGGCTGTATTTATGGTGATGCGTCAGTGTTGTATTGTGTCTGTGGATGGTGGCGATGCTATGATGGCAGAGGCGTCTCTCGCGGTGAATGGTGGTGGCATTGATTTACATGTTTTGGTGGTGATTTTTGTTGTAGGCGATAGTAGTGGATTTAGCAATGAATACGAGTTTTGTTGGATCTGGAGGTTACGATGGCTGTTGCGGTGATTTTGTTGATATAGACAGTGGTGGTGGTGGCTGCAGTGGTGGTTTTTGTTGATATGGGTGGTGGTAGTGATGGTGCCCGACAGTATATTTTGAGTTTTTTTTTGTGTGGGAATTGTGGTTGTGGAATGGTATGGTGGTGTGGTGGGGTGGGGTGGGGTGGAGTGGAGTGTATGTAACATTTATTTGGTTGATTTTAATCAATAAATTGATTAATATGTGACCAATTATGTAGTTGATCATGACCAATAAATTGCTTGATTTTGTGATAAATAAATAATGTAACCTAAAAAATGTGATTGTGGTCACAATTTATAAAGTTGTGACCGAGAAATTACATATGACCAATTCATTTAACAATTTGTGATCGTTAAATAAATTGTAACCTATAAAATTTGTAATTTTGTGATCGATAAATAAATTGAAACCTATAAAAAATTTTGATTTGATATCAAGAATAATTTGTAACCTTTAAATTTTTTGATCTGTGACCTAGAAGTAATTTTTGCTTATAAGATTTTTGATCAGTGACTCAAAAATAATTTGTTTTTTGACTAAAAAATAATTTGTGACCAACTAATTTAATAATTATGACCAAATTGTATAGTATTGTGACTTTAATAATTTAATTAATAAAATATATTTTTAATTAATTATTTCATAAATAAAATGTAATTAGTATCTGATTTTTGAAATTTAAACCTTGTTCTTAGTTTTGAAATGGGTAATACTTAATCTCTTAGTTACAAGATTTTTTCCCATTCTTTTAGTGGAAATTACACCCACACATGCTTTTTAATTTCCCTATTCAAAAACAGATCTAAAGTCTATTTATACAAAAATGAGATATTAATTCAAATACTATAAATTAAATTTTAATATTAATAATAATATAATAAATTAATTTGTATACACACACTATATTCCATCTAATCAATTCAAACCCTAAATCATTTTATCTCATTTCCTCTCTATTCTCACTTCTTTCCTTTCTTCATTCCCGTCTCTCTTTTCGCTCTCCCTCATACCGCTATAGCTGTTGGGTGCGTCCACCTCGAGATGCCACCTTCGATCATCGTTGCGCAGCCATGCCTTGATGTAAGTGTCGCGACAGTATCATCGCTACGACGCTGCCCGATGCTTGATTGAGCACCGCAACAACAGTCGACAGAGATAAAGGCAGAGTAAGCTATGCTATTAGCTTTGACGGAGTTGGATTTTAGTGGAGTTGAATTCGTGTTTTGGATTTGTGGTTTTTGATCGGTGGTTGTCGTTGTTGATGTGGTTGGTGGTTGGGTATGGTTGGGTTCGTGTTTTGGATTTGTGTTTTAGACCTATGGTTGTGAATCGGTGATTGTCATTGTCATTGGTGGTGCGGTGCGGTACGGGTTGGTTGGTTGTGGTTTGTGGTACTATGGTTTTTGCATTGACGTGGTGTGTGGAGACGACGTTGGTAGTGGTCGCTACGCGGATGGGATGGGTGGGGATGGTGCGATGGTTGGGTGCATGCAGTATGTGGTGTGATGCTATGTGCTATGGTGTTGGCTTTGATAGTGTGTAGTTGTGTTGATTGATTGTTGTGATGTGATTGGGGTGACTTTGGCAGTAGTGGTGTTTGACAGCAGTGCTGCGTGTAGTGCAATGGTAAGGTTATTGTCACAAATGATTCGATTGATTATGATTAATAAATTGATTAATTTGTGATTAATTATTTGATCGATGAATAACATGTGATCGATAATTTGTGACTAACAAATAATATATGACCTAAAAATTTGTGTCGTGATTTATAAAATTTGTCATTTGTGATTGATAAATAAATTGTGAGTTATAATTTTTTTTTAAAAATTTGTGGCAGATGAATAAATTGTGACCTATAAAAATTTTAGTTTGTGACCGTGAAATAATTGGTAACCTTTAAATTTTTTGATTCATGATCGAAAAATAATTTATGATAAATTAATTCGATAATTTGGACCAAATAATATAGAATTGTGACCTTAATATATTTAATTGATGAAATATATTTTTAATTAATTATTTCATATTTACAATTTAATTAATTTTTTTATTTTTGAAGTTTTAGACATTGTTTTTATTTTTAAAATTGACCATACTTAATCTCTTACATATGAAATTTTCCCTTTTTTAATTTTTTTTGTGGAAATTACATTAATTAAGTGTTTTCAAGATCTTCATTCACAATTAAGAGTAACACTTTTTTTTTTCAAAATCAAATATAATCAAAAATTTAAATATTAATAATAATATTATAAAATGAAACTTATTAACATATTCCCATCTGCCCCCACCTCACTCACAAATCCTAAATTTCTCTTCATTCCTCCTTTTCCTTTCTTTCTCTATATCTCATCATTTCTCTCTCATCTTTCTCTCCCGACTTTATAACTCTTCCTCAATTGTTGTTGTCGAAGAGCACCATTGCCGGGAGACCGTCTCTATGCCATTTTTGAGGTGAAAGCCACATTCCTTGGTTGCAAATCACATCGGAGCTCTGCAAATCGGAGGGTAAAGCCATTTCTTTATTGTGAGTGTCGCTGTAGACTTTGTGGATCCAGCTGCAGTGGCCTAGATCACGACTAGAATGACATAAATCGTGGCTTCAATGTAGTAGATCGCAGTCGTGATAAATTTTCCTTCATTCCAAATCACGCCAAAAGCAGCCCAGATCGTGGTAGATCGCGGTGGTGATGATTTTTTTTTTGGTTGTTAGATGGGTGGTAGTGATTTCAATGTTTTGATGATGTTGGGGTTGTTGGAAAATAAGGGGTTGGAGAAGAAACAATAACAAAATTATAGAAACAAAATGAATAGAAATCACGAAATACGTCAAGAACGAATTTGAGGCTTGAACACGAGATCATTGTCCTCAAACTATATTTGCTCCCTCTCCATATGAAATGAGATGCTTAAGGGTGTTATGACAAATGGTTTGAAGGATTTTAACAAGTCTTGATACAGAAAATAACAAAACACGAGAAAATTTTCGCCAAAACTTGATGAACACAATAAAGA